AATAATCCACAACATGACTTCAATACATCCGTTAGCTTCTTGTGAAGTGAAAAGCTGTGTGTTTGAAATAAACAAATCCATCATTAATGTGTTTTAATTTAAAACTGCCGCTTCTGGCCAAAATACGAGTCCATAATACATAACATCTCCCCCAGTAAAAAAAAAAAGAAAAAAAAAGTCCACCCCCTGTTGTCCTCTCACATCAAAATCTTCCAAAATATTTGTTTAGAACTGTTTTGGAATGTTTTTGCACGCAAATAGTGCTTGTTCCATGCTTATTTCTCTCCTGATTCAGAAGAGACAACTTTTTCACTGGAGAAAGCAACGGAGAACTCGTATTTAGCCACAAAGCAACAGTTTCAAGTCTTAATGATGAATTTGTTCGTTACAAACACACAGCTTTTTGCTTCACAATATGTTTATTAATGGACTAGAGTGTGAATTAATTGTGGATTATTGTGAGTTTTTTATCTGCTCTTTGAACTCATTCTGACGGCACCCATTCACTGCAGAGGATCCACTGGTTAGCAAGTGATGTAATACTAAATTTCTCCAAATCTGTTTCAATTAAGAAACAAACTAATCTGGATGGCCTGAGGGACAGTAAATTTTCAGCAAATTTTTAATTGTGGGTGTACTATAATAGGTTCATTTTTAAACTACTAATATTAAAACATAAAGCTTTAAAGTCGGTCTCAACAGAACATAAGGGTTAAATGTATCAGATGAGAAACACTACTGGAGATGCAAAATGCAAGGTTTTCCTGAGTAAAATATAGACTGACTTTTTTGAGGTTGAAACAAAGGCTGTGTTCTGGATTTGGCACCGCTCAAGTGGCATGCTTGATTTATCCACCTGACCTAAAAGCACCTGACAATGAGAAGACACATTTCTCAGATGCCTCTGGTTAAAGTGCATGAACGGTGTCATTCGTTTTGAGTCCATTGTTGAGGAAATTGCCTGCTTGGGAAGCATCTGTAAATTAAAGGGCCTTTGCTGATCTCTTCTGAACAGCATCAGACTGGGGTGTCAACTAAGGAAGTTGTAGTTTTGAGGAGAGGTCTTACAGTACATCCAAGATCTACACACTCTTCAAAAAAAAAACTGCAAAAACAGGGACAATGTACTGTACTAATATGAAGGAATTTTTTTTCCATATTGATTTTTAAAAATAGTTTTACTTGTATTTTGAATTTTGCACTGCATTGTGTTGTGTTTTAGCGTTAACAGAAATGTCTGTAAAATGAATGGATAATGATATTTTTTTAACTTTATCTGATGTGCCAGTGCCAAGTATTGACCTTAGGAACTTTGTATTATCCTATGTAAAGTTGATAATTTTCACATTATTACTTTGAAGAACCTCAGATATAAAGGTTTTGATTTGTTTAACATTTCAGTCACTACATAATTCTCATACTTTCATTTGTTTTTGTTTTTTTCATAGTTTTTACGAATTTACTATTATTTTATAAAATGTAATAATAAAAAAGGAATCTGTGTGTGCATATAAATAGTAATGTAGGTCTGATTTATTGCGTCTTTAATGCCTAGACAGCACTCGACTAACTCGTTTTGACTCGAACAGCATTCTTTATCTTTGCGCTTGTTTGCTGTATACCAACATAGGACCACTGACAATTCAGAGAGCTTGAAGCTTAGATGTTACTTTTATTCTCAAAATTGTTTTTTCCTATGATCTCCTACTGCAGCTGTATTTACCCTCAGCGATCTCCAAATCGATGAGAGGCATTCATCTATTTTTTTAAGACGTGGCTTCAGCACTGTCAAGTTGTTTTACATAAAACATGAACTGTCCAATCCTTCTAAAACATTTTAGTACCATCCTGTGGATAAGCATCCAAACAACCAACTCCCTGTGTGAGTGGATTTCACCTATATAAAGGTTCTTTATTAGCATCTTTGGTTCAGTGGATAACTTTTGAACCTTAAAAGGCTCTTAATAGTTGACAAAGTTTCTTTAGATATGTTCTTCAAATTAAGAAAAAATTGTTTTTTTAAGAACTTTTCACCAAATGGTTCTATATGGCATCACTGCCCTTTTGAAATCTTTATTCCTCTTTTTTTGAGTTTAGCCACTTTTCTCAAAATAAACACCAAGGTTTGTTAAACCTTTGACACCACCAGAGGGACCAACCACAACAAAGCCAATGAGACACATGTATAATCAATGATGTCTTCCGATAGCTGTTGGAAAACAAAGGAAGACTGTCCAGACTTCATTTAAAGGGGTGGTTCACTGGTTTTTTTCTAGGCTTGATTGTGTTTATGGGGTGCAGTCTAACATGTGTTAATGCTTAGGTTTTTTTTTTAAACTTATTATTTTTCACATAATTTACTTTTATTCCACACCGCTCTGTCCGTTCTCTGAGAAACGCGTTGATCATTTCCTGCTTTTATGAAGCCCCACCCTCAGAAATAGGCGATGGGCTCTGATTGGCTAGCTAGCCCAGTGTGTTGTGATTGGCTAAACCGCCTCTAGTGCGCGTCTAAGCGTCCCGCCCCTCACCTCAGCGGCATGTGCTCCAGTTGTGTTGTAAACAATGGCGTAGTTCATATCGCTTATCAGTTTGAGCCCGATTGAGAAGCAGAGGATATTATTGAAGAGGATCATGCAGAACCTGTGCAAGCACGGCTTTTAATCTATTTTTTTAAGACGTGGCTTCAGCACTGTCAAGTTCAGTTTTACATAAAACATGAACTGTCCAATCCTTCTAAAACATTTTAGTACCATCCTGTGGATAAGCATCCAATCAGTTTTATCCTGATTAAAGCTTTAATACAGTATAGCAACTGCACGCGCGTCCATGTTTAACGCGGTTTTATCCTGATTAAAGCTTTAATACAGTATAGCAACTGCACGCGCGTCCATGTTTAACGCTTCTCATAGCTATGTGGGAAGTAACTTCTTGTTGTCCCTACCAGCCATTTTTTTAAACTGACAGAATTTTAAAAGACGATATCTCCGTTTGCATCGAACTTTCAGCTTCGTAACTTTGCAGATATTGTTTATGCTGAAACAGCAACATTACACACTAACTAACATTAAAAAAGTGAAATCGCAATCAACCACCCCTTTAAAACCATCAATCCCCCTCACTATAGTGGGGAGAACCACAATGAGGCGGACTCATCTCAAATAAGAGGGTTACTTGTAAACCCCCAGTAGATGGGGGCAGGGGGCAAAAACACATTTTATTTATCTTGTTTTTCGGCCAGGCACAATAAAGGTTTCAAAAGGAGGTTTTCACAGCAATGCCATAGAAGATTATTGTGGGTTCTCCAAAGAACCTTTCAATGGAAAGTTCTGAAAAGTACTTGTTTTTTGTCTGAAGAACATACACACTAAAAATAAAGGTTCTGTATTGGCATTGATGGTTGCATGAAGAACCTTTAACATTCACTGCACATAAGGAACTTTAGAGTGGAAAGAGTTTCTTTAGATTTTTTAAATGATCTTCTCACACTAAGAAAAAATGGTTCTTTTAAAAATTGTTCACTAGAAGGTTCATTGGGGAGCCAAAAATGGTTCTTCTGTGGCATCGCTGTGGGACCCCACTTTTGTAAACTTCATTTTTAAAAGTATACAATATAAAGAAACTTTTTTTGTGCAATGGAAAGTTTCCATGGATGTTAAAAGTTCTTCATAGAAGCATAGATGCAAATAAAAACCTTCATTTTTTAGAGTGCAGAGCTGGAGAGATCAGAAAAAAGCAGAAGGACAGATAGTGAATTCACTTCTGTTTGCACTGTCAGCTCAGTGTGAACGCAATATACCATGTCAATAGACACTACCACATCTACTAAAGGTACGTCCAGCTTAACAGCACCTAATATTTACCTCAGATTACTCACACTTTGCTGTGACGGCCCTTTTGTATGCTTAACTGTAATACCAAGAGGTGTAAGTTAAGGGCTCCTTGCTGTAAAGTCTCTGCTACTGAACATTCAAAGCACATTTATGGCAGGGTGTATCAAAGTAATCAAACAGGAAAATCTCTAGAG